TTAAATGGATTAAAACACTTGGAAGCTCTGTGATTGCAATGATGATTGTGCTTTAATCTATGTTGTTTGTCTTTGTACAGTCTGCAGATGCAGATCCCGACTCCTACGAGAAGTAGCTCACCGTGACAAAGTTGCCCTTGCTTTTCTCTCTTTGCAAATCAAAGAAGGGAGACATGTTGGGAGCAAGCCCCTCAAAATCTGGCCATAAACTGGCCCCAAAACTGGCCATGAACAAAATCTCTGCAGCACTATCACATGTCCATAATGGCCCTAACGCCCAAGCTGGAAGGTTGTGGGTTTACGGGAATGAGGGCAAGGAACACCTGGCCCACCCAGGGCGGAAAACTGCTTAAAGGCATTCTTAAGACACAAACAATAGCATGAGCGATTTATGCCTAAAGGTGTGTTCCTGCTGCAGTTAACTAGCCTAATCTATTCATTTAATTCCGCCCACCCTTTTGTTTCCTATAAGGGGTACTTTTAGTTAATTTAGTATCTATAGAAAAAATGCTAATGACTGGCTTGCTGTTAATAAATATGTGGGTAAATCTCTATTCAGGGCTCTCAACTCTGAAGACTGTGAGACCCGATTCCCCAGTTCACACCTCTACATTTCTGTGTGTGTGTGTCTTTAATTCCTCTAGCGCCACTGGGTTAGGGTCTCCCTGACCCAGCTGGTCTTAGTAGAAAACAAAACATCGTATGTTCTCACTAATAAGTGGGAGCTAACCTATGAGGATGCAAAGGCATAAGAATGATACAATGGACTTTGGGGACTTGGAGGGAGAAGTGGGAAGGGGGAGAAGGATTAAAAGACTACAAATATGGTGCAGTGTATACTGCTACGGTGATATGTGCACCAAAGTCTCACAAATCTCCACTAAAGAACTTACTCATGTAACCAAATACTACCTGTACCCCACTTATGGAAAAATAAAAATAATAATATTAAAAAGGTCATTGCCCCCCCCTCCAAAAAAAATTGGAACTTCTGTTTGTGATTGAATCTAAATCATTTTGGAGATGTATTTATTTTCTAGGTCTGCCATAACAGATGTTGGTGGCTTAAACAATGGAAATTCATTTTCTCACAGTTCTAGAATCTAGAAGTCCAAGATTAAGGTCTTTAAGTTTCCTTTCTTCTGAGGCCTCTCCCCGTGACTTGCAGATGGCTACCTTCTCACTCTGTCCTCACCTAGTCATTCCTTTGTGTTGCCTGTGTCTCATCTCCTCTTCTCAATAAAGACAACTGTTGCACTGGATTAGGGTCCACCCATATTGCGTCTGGAATTAGTGGGTTCTTGGTCTCGTTGACTCCAAGAACGAAGCCGCAGACCCTCGTGGTGAGTGTTACAGTTCTTAAAGATGGTGTGTCCAGAGTTTATTCCTTCAGATGTTCAGATGTGTCCGCAGTTTCTTCCTTTTGGTGGGTTTGTGGTCTCGCTGACTTCAGGAGTGAAGCCGCAGACCTTTGCAGTGAATGTTACAGTTCTTAAAGGTGGCGCATCTGGAGTTGTTTCTTCTTCCCGGTGGCTTTGTGGTCTTGCTGGCTACAGGAGTGAAGCTGCAGACCTTCGTGATGAGTGTTACAGTTCATAAAGGCAGCTCATAAAGGCAGCGTGGACCCAGAAGAGTGAGGAGCAGCAAGATTTATTGTAAACAGCAAAAGAACAAACCACCCACAATGTGGAAAAAGACAGGAACAGATTGCCACAGCTGGCTCAGGCAGCCTGCTTTTATTCCCTTATCTGATCCCACCCACATGCTGCTTATTGGTCCATTTTCCAGAGAGTTGATTGGTCTATTTTCCAGAGAGCTGATTGGTCCATTTTACAGACAGCTGACTGGTCTGTTTTGACACAGTGCTGATTGGTGTGTTTACAATCCCTGAGCTAGACACAGAGTGCTGATTGGTGTGTTTACAATCCTTTAGCTAGACACAAAGTGCCAGACAGAAAAGTTCTCCAAGTCCCCACTAGATTAGCTAGATACAGGAGTACTGATTGGTGTATTTACAAACCTTGAGCTATACACAGGGTGCTGATGGGGGTGTTTACAATCCCTGAGCTAGACATAGAGTGCTGATTGGAGTGTTCACAATCCTTTAGCAAGACACAGAGTGATAGACAGAAAAGTTCTCCAAACCCTCACTAGATTAGCTAGATACAGAGTACTGATTGGTGTATTTACAAACTTTGAGCTATACACAGGGTGCTGATGTTGGTGTTTACAATCCCTGAGCTAGACATAGAGTGCTGATTGGAGCGTTTACAATCCTTTAGCAAGACACAGAGTGCTAGACAGAAAAGTTCTCTAAGCCCCCACTAGATTAGCTAGATACAGAGTACTGATTGGTGTATTTATAAACCTTGAGCTAGACACAGGGTGCTGACTGGTGTATTTACAATCCGCTAGTTAGACATAAAGGTTCTCCAAGTCCCCACTAGACTCAGGAGCCCAGCTGGCTTCACCTAGTGGATCCTGTACCAGGGCCGCAGGTGGAGTTGCCCGACAGTCCCTGTGCAGTGCGCCTACACTCCTCAGCCCTTGGGCCGTGGATGGGACCGGGTGCCATGGAGCAGGGGGGCGGCACCTGGTGAGGCTCAGGCTGTGCGGGAGCCCACCATGGGGGACTCGGGCATGGCGGGCTGCAGGTCCTGAGCCCCACCCTGTGGGGAGGCAGCTGAGCCCCAGTGAGTATGGGAGCATGGCGTAGGCAAGCCAGCAGTGCTGGGGGACCCAGTGCACTCTCCACAGCTACTGGCCTGGATGCTAAGCCCCTCACTGCCCTGGGCCGGGGGCACTGGCCGGCTGCTCGAGTGCGGGCCAGCCAAGACCGCAGCCAAGGGAACTTGTGCTGGCCCATGAACACAGCCTGCAGCCCCGGTTCCCGCCCGGGCCTCTCCCTCCATACCTTCCCACAAGCAGAGGGAGCCGGTTCCAGCCTGGGCCAGCCTAGAGAGGGGCTCCCACAGTGCAGTGGCAGGCTGAAGGGCTCCTCAAGTGCTGCCAGAGTGGACACTGAGGCCGAAGAGGCACCAAGAGTGAGGGCTGCTAGCACGTTATCACCTCTCAATATGACCTAATTTTACCTTCCTTATCCAAATACAGTCACATTCTGAGATAAGAGAGGATTAGGACTTTAACATAGGAATTTGGAGAAGGGGAACCCAATTCAGCCCATAACAGGGGAGCACTGATATTTTCCCAGAATTGAACCTGCCAACCCACGAACACAATATATCCATTTTCCATTTAATATTATTTAATGCCTTTAATAGAGAGTGATACATTTCGCTAAGAGGCATTAAATAATATTGAACATCATGTTGGGTATCCCTTTATTTAATAAGATCCCCTTTTCTCCCTTTCATACTATGTTTTAAGTCCTAGAAGGTTGACATTTATGGACCCCATTAAAGGGCTCTCTTGTCTTCTGGGCTCTGACTGAGTTTGACCAATGGGAAGCATGGGCAGAAGATCTAAAAGTAGATATCCATTTCCCCACTTCTTCCCCATGGCTGGGCTGATGATAATCGGGAGCAGTTGTGTTCCTCTACCGATTATTCCACCTCTTGCCCCGAGCCTTCTGCTGCAGCCGTACCTTTCTCAATGAAATCAGGTTCAGATAACTGCTCCCTTTCAGTTTCTCATTCAGATCTATGGTTAGTGCCCCATTTTCTTCTTGTTGGTTACTTCTGTAACTGATCCCTTCATTACATTGCCCTCAACTTCTACATTTCAGTGTGCCAGTTTTCTTTTGCTGGGGAGTACATTTGTTTATTCCAATGTACTTTATAACTCTTGATGCCATTTAATATGGTATACTTTAAAATTACATTTTCTGTTGTTGCTAACATATAGAAATGTGATGTCTTCATTACACACACACACACACACACACACACACACCCCAAAAAAACCCAGCAATGTAGCCATTGCACTCTAGCCTGGGTAACATAGTGAGACCTTATCTCTTTTAAAAAAAGAAAAAATCAACTCCAGTAACCTTTCTAAATTCTCTCATTAATTCCAATAATTTTTATTAGTTTTTTTTTCTTTTGAGACACGGTCTTACCTCATCATCCAGGCTGAAGTGCAGCAGCAGAAATAGGGCTTATTGCAGCCACAAACTTCTGTGCTCAAGTGATCCTCCTGCCTCAGTGTCCCGTGTAGCTGGGATCACAGGTGTGTACCACCATGCCAGGCTAATTTTTTAATTTTTTTGTGGAGTCTAGGTCTCATTCTGTTGCCCAGGTGGGTCTTGAATTCCTGGACTGGAGTAATCCTCTCAACTCAGCCTCCCAAAGTACTGGGAACTGGAATTACAGGCATGAGCCACTGCACCTTGCCTCTTTTCTTTATACATAACCTCTAAAACAATTTCTAATCACAGATTTACAACTTTCTTTGGAACATTTATGCATTTTTAAGTTTCCTGAACATCTAGTGCAATGCTGTATAGAAGAGACAGTAGCAATCATCTGTCTTGTACCTAATACAGAATGCTTTCTGTGTTTCACCATTAGGTGTGGGGTTTCAGATTGTCAGGTTAAAAAATTCCCTTCTATTTTTAGTGTCTAAGAGTTCTCGTAAGTGAAAGGATGCTGAATTCTATCAAAAACTTTTTACACATCTTTTGATATGATTTTCTTCTTTAATCTTTTAATATTGTGAATTATATCAGTTACATTAACCTGTCTTCTAATATTAAATTGACCTTGAAGCCTACACAATTAGTCATAATACACAATACTTTCAGAACTCAGAATCCAAACGAGCAGGAATACATTCTTTAGAGCCAAGTAGGTACCATAACTTACCAGTCATATTTTTATCTACACACAATCAGCAACAAATGAACATGTATCAGTATCTGACCAGTTGTGTCGTTTTGACTGGCTCTTTTACTTACCTCCATCAGTAATGCAACAATCTATTTAATCAGTAAACAGTAATGCTGAGCATTCACTAAATGTCATTCACTTTTCTGGCACTAGAGTACAAATGACAAAGCCATAACCATTGCCATTAAGGAGCTCATAAATGTGTGAGTGGTGTGTATGTGTGAGACAAAAGGAAGAGGCTGACACAAAGGAAGAGTCAAACAAAATAAAATGAAAAACGTATATAGTAAGTGCTTTACTGTAAGTGAATGGACGAGAGTACTACGGAAAAAGAATGGAGACATATTTCAAGTTCTCACGTTGTTTGATGCAAATCTTGTAGACGGTGTTTGCTGCAAAAAGATGAAGAAAACATTCACAGACATTTATGTTGATTACATATTTATTGGTATGTGCCAAGACGTTTTGATCTTGGGGATGAAGTAAACACAAAAATCTCTGTTGCATAGGGCTTACATTCTAGCAATAAAGAACTTGCCCAGAGAAAAGGCCTCTCCTGGTTAGTAAACAGTATGAACAATTAACAGCTCTGGTTGTTTCACAGAGCCTGCTGCAGACAATATCACAGTTTGTTTATATTTAAATATTCTTTTAATTTCTCCATGCATGCAATTTGCAAATTATCACTCATATGTATACATATCAAAAGATGTGTAAAAGTTTTTGATAGAATTCAGCATTCATTCGCTTAAAAAATGAGTGCAGGCTCACTTTATTGATGAGAGTATTTAATCAAAAATATTGGGGATCTACAACTCTAGAGTTCTCCAAAGTCCACCAAGGAAAAAGTAATTTGAATTTAATCACATTTAAAACTATATAGTATCCACGCCTAAAACATTAGCAACATAGGAAAACTTACACAGCAGAAGAGATGGCTGGGGAATTTTTTTTGTTTGTTTGTTTTTTTGTTTTAAGACAGCGTCTCGCTCTGTCGTCCAGGCTGGAGTGCAGTGGCGCGACCACCGCTTACTGTGGCCTCGACTTCTCGAGCTCCAGTATCCTCCCACCTCAGCCTTCCAAATAGGTGGGACCACAGGCACCACCACGCCAAGCCCGTATATGGTTTTTAAGTAAGACAAATTGCAAAAAAAACGTTACTAGACAGTGTTCGCAGGTTTGGGCCGTCACTGGGAATGGCTCGTGTCCGTCTAGATATTCAGAGGCCGAGCACAGTCCTCAGTAGGGCTGCTCGGCGGGTACACTGCTGCCGCTGGCCCTTGGGCTTACGGGAGTGGGAAGGGCTTTCAACTTGGCCGCGGACCGGGAAGGCGTTCTGACCCGCTAGAGCTTGGGGCGAGGGACCCCATCCCGGTGCCTACAGCGCCTCCTTTAGCCGGCGTGGGCCAGCGTTAGTTACCTCAGGGCACTGAACTGGTGCCTGCGTCTTTCTGCACTTCTCGCTCTTTCTTCAAGTCACTTATGCCCAGCGAGCCCACCCTCCCGCCAGCCAGTCGTCATTTCCGGCGGGTGCCCTGCGTCATTTACGTCGTCACTTCCTGCCGATACCGGTGTGGACGGTGTGAATCGTGGCTGGGCCGGTTCTCTGCTTCTCCCCATCCCCTACTTTCCTCCCTCCCTCCCTTTCCCTCCCTCGTCGACTGTTGCTTGCTGGTAGCAGACTCCGTGACCCCTCCCTCACCCCTTCCTAACCTCGGTGCCACCGGATTGCCCTTCTTTTCCTGTTGCCCAGCCCAGCCCTAGTGTCAGGGCGGGGGCCTGGAGGAGCCCGAGGCGCTGCAGCAGAAGAGAGAAAAGACAACGACGACCCTCAGCTCGCCAGTCCGGTCGCTGGGTTCGCCGCCGCCATGGCAATGAGACAGACGCCGCTCACCTGCTCTGGCCACACGCGTCCCGTGGTTGATTTGGCCTTCAGTGGCATCACGCCTTATGGGTATTTCTTAATCAGCGCTTGCAAAGGTGAGCAAGGCCTCAATCCTGGTCCCCGACGGCTGGGACTGGGCCGAAAGGGATTGGGACCCGCACTCTGCAGTGCTGCGCGGTGGTGTGGTGAGCGGGGAGGGGGCGATATTAACATCTGAGATGAGGGCCAACACTGGTCCGGTGGAGAAAGGAGTGTGTTAGGGAATCCGCAGCTGGAGCCGAGAGGCCTCCGGACGCTTATGTAGAAACTATTACCCCCAACTAAGACCTCTCTCCTTATTTTATTTTTATTGCTGTTTTTGAAGGAGCTGGACAGCACTTGCCTAGACTCTCGGGACAACACTGTAAATAGCTGTCAAGGATTTGGGGAAAGGAGAAATTAGGCCAGGCCGTGCAATACCTTACAAAGATGTTCGCTCTTGTCTCACTGGGTATTCCTTTGTGGTATTAACCTCATTTTTCAAATGGGAAACAGATTTAGGCTACAATGTTTGTCCAAAATAAGACTGAAAATCTAAGTTGTTTCGACGCAGATCAGTATTCCCAGCAAATTACAGATGCTTTTCAGGGAAAATGATCTGTTCAGCTCTTCAGTTAATTATTACTGGACATTCCGTAGTGACTTCAATCGGTGGTGATAGTTAAATAGCTGAAACAATTTTTCCACTTCGTCATTGAACATCATTGTATATTTACATTAATCCGAACTTATAAATTACATGTTTTAAAAAATATTTTCTAGATGGTAAACCTATGCTACGCCAGGGAGATACAGGAGACTGGATTGGAACATTTTTGGGTCATAAAGGTGCTGTTTGGGGTGCAACACTGAATAAGGATGCCACCAAAGCAGCTACAGCAGCTGCAGATTTCACAGCGTAAGTGTAGCCAAGATGGCTAACTTTGGTGTTCTCTGTAGATTGTGTCCTGAAATAATCAAAAACTTCAGTCTCAGATATTCATAAAATTCTGACTCGCTGGCTGCCATATAGAACGCATGATGTTTGATCTCACCAAAATTCCATCCTGGTCCATCGTGGTCCTGTGTGCTGCTTTTGTCTTCAGTGGTTCTCAAAATTTTTAGAGGCCTAAATGACTTACTCCTTATATTTTGATTGAAACTCAGGAATCTGCATTAACAAACGCTCCGGATAATGAATGTTGATCTCCTTTACGAATGCTGCTCTGTGTGTACTCCTTAGTGATAACCTACAGTGATGGCCCTAGGTTTTTATTTCAATCCCAGTTTTTGTTAACTGGCTGTAGGCATCACTAAAACTCATTGTGTCAAAAACAAACAAAAGACAAAACAACAAGAAAGCAAAACCCAACTGCTCTTCATTTCCTAAGTTTTTAAAGGTTGAAATCTAAAGCATTCTTGATTTTCCCTTACATCGAGATTATCATCATCCTTTTTGATTGTGCCAGCAGGATGTCTCCTGAATACAATGTTCCTCCATGTAGTAACTGCCACTGCCTTAGTTGAGGATCATTTTTAACTTTCAGTAGTTTCTTTTCCTCCTATTAATATTTCATGTTGCTGCCAGTTGTCTTCCTAAAAATGTGTTTGATCATGTCACTTCTCTACCTACTGATCTTCCTGTCTTCCCTTTGCCATTTTAGTAGTTCATGACCTTTGATACACATTAGAATATCTGGAGAGCTTTTCAAATATTCAAATGGTATGTGTCCCAGAAATTTGGATTTTTAAAACTTTTTTTTTTTTTTTTACTTTTTTACTCTCTCTCTCTATGCATATATATATTTACACTTTTTACTACATTGAAAAATTTTTAAAATACTTTTTAGTATATAGACAGTATCTGGCTATGTTGCCCAGGCTGTCTTAAACTGTTGGCCTCCATGCGTCAGCCTCTCAAAGAGCTGGGGTTGTGGGGGTGAACTATTGTGCCTGGTACAGAAATTCTGGTTTGATTGGTCTTTGGGGATGGAGTACTGATCATACTGATCATTGGCGTTTTTTTATTTTTCTTTCCTCCTTTTCTTTCCTGATATGCAGTCGTAGAATTGCTGACCTAAAGGACACATTTCAATTGTTGGCCCTTTACAGTTTGCTTCATCCTAGTTCATCAACATCATCCTCTCCCATTGCACACCATAAACCCACAATCTAATTATACTTATCTTATTGTTGTCAGAATATACTTTACCTGTTCTGACTTTTTGCTGTTAATTATGTTATTAAACTGACCTACAGTGGCCCTCGTTGCCTTTTTGGGAAGATATCATGTATTAAAAATCTTGTTCTCTCCAGTTCCTACTTGGTATTTGTAACTTAGGAATTTGACACTTCATTGTTTAAACTGATGAAGACAGTATCAAGAGCTATTGTGCATACACAAATTTATTAGATTTAAGAGGCTAGAGAGTACAAGTGGTGTTGATTTTTTTTTTTTTTTTAAAGACAGAGTCTTGCTCTGTCGCCCAGGCTGGAGTGCAGTGGCACAATTTCGGCTCACTGCAACCTCCACCTCTGAGGTTCAAGTGATTCTCCCACCTCAGCTTCCTGAGAGGCTGGGACTGCAGGTGCGCGCCACCATGCCCGGCTAATTTTTGTGTTTTTAGTAGAGATGGGGTTTTGCCATGTTGGCCAGGCTGGTCTCGAACTCCTGACCTCAAGTGATCTTGGCCTCCCAAAGTGCTGGGAGCCTCCCACTGTGGCTGGCCTTTGATTTTTTTTTTTTTTTTTTTTTTTTTGAGACGGAGTCTTGCTCTGTAGCCCAGACTGGAGTGCAGTGGCCGGATCTCAGCTCACTGCAAGCTCCGCCTCCCGGGTTCCCGCCATTCTCCTGCCTCAGCCTCCCGAGTAGCTGGGACTACAGGCGCCCGCCACCTCGCCCGGCTATTTTTTTTTTTGTATTTTTAGTAGAGACGGAGTTTCACCGTGTTGGCCAGGATGGTCTCGATCTCCTGACCTCGTGATCCGCCCGTCTCGGCCTCCCAAAGTGCTGGGATTACAGGCTTGAGCCACCGCGCCCGGCCTGATTTTTTTTTTTTTAAACAACCTCACACTAAGGAGGAATTGTAAATGTGCTGCCTCCTTCATTTTGAGTAAATTAAACATACCAATTTTAGAATGAAAAAATGAAGGCTGATTGATTGTGGTGGCGGATACGTGACTGTATGCTCTTGTTTGTTGAAACAGTGTTGTCTTTATGCTTTCTTAACATTTCAAGTCTCAATGTCTGTGTTTACAACTGGTGTTAAGAGCATGAAGACTGGAGCCAGATGACCTGTATTTGAATTGGTGGCCTCATGCACTTTATTTAACCATTTTTTTTCAGTCCTGGTACCTACTTCATAGGTTGGTTTTGAATATTAAATAAGTTAATATGTTTCAAATACTTAGAATATTGTCTGAAGTCCATTACATCTATGAAAGTGTTACATATGTAAAGTAACGATGATAGCTACCATGTAAACTATTACCACCTGCACTTGATCAAAATCACATATTATTTTGAAACTAATATGGCTAAAGCCTTGAAACCATTTGGCCTCATGTAAGGAAGGTTGAATGAATTTAAATGTCAAGAAGGAAGATTTTTGTGATTTTTTCCCCCCCTCAGTTAAGACTTTAGGTGCTGTGTTAGAGTGGAAAATAGTAACAAGCATTGGCACTAAGTGGGCTTGCATTCATGTGCAAACTATGTTGTGTATTTCCAGTTGGATCATCATAGGATTATTATTATTATTATTTTTTTGAATCAGGGTCTTAGGTGCCTAGGCTAGAGTGCAGTGGTGTGATCATAGCTCACTGCAGCCTCTACCTCCCAGTCCCAAGCAGTTCTCCAACCTCAGCTTCCTGAGTAGTGACCACAGGTGTGTACTACCGTGCTTGGCTAATCTTTGTGTTTTTTGTAGAGACAGGCTTCTCCATGTTGTCCAGGTTGGTCTTGAACTCTTAGGCTCAAGCGATCTGCCCACCATGGCAGGATGTTTCTTAAACGTCAGTTTTCGTGTCTGTAAAATGGGACTAAGACCCATGAGATTATTGGAGGAACAGAGAGCTCTTTCTCTACCATATATCCCTGAAGTCCAGCATGATCTCTGTCACATAGTAGGTGCTCAATAAATGCTAC